AAAAAAAAAAAAAAAATAAGGTTTGGCTTCTAGTTTCTGGTCTGGCGTGTAAGGAGCTCAGGAGTCACCACTCCATCCTAACAAGAAGTAAAAAGATAAACTGAAAAATCACCCATTCTTCTTAGATCTATTAGAGACATGAGGTCACAGGGCAAACCACTGCCCCCACAATTGGAGAGACAGACAGGCAGGCACAGAGAATTTAATGAAACAGAAACCACGAGCAGAAACTTCCAAGGGAACCAGAACTGGGGTAGGAAAACCTGAACTATAACTGATGAATTGTCAAGGCCCAGGGTAGACAAGTCTGAGGGTTAAAAACTCTAGGGGATCAAGTCATTGAGGAATCCCCAAGCTTTTGTGAGTTTTACCTTCAGGAGCCCTGCCAGTTCTTCACAGTGACTATCAGAGAAAAGTCCCCTCATACTTCTAGGAGGGAGAAGGAAAAAAGAGCCATTTTGAAATGTGCCTGTGCATTCCATTCCTAATCAGGCATTCCTTCATGAGAAACTATTTTACCAGAGCCTAACTTACCTAGGGGAAGGGAAATACCTAACTCTAGTCCCCTCTAGGCATCCTGTCCCATCTAAGCAGGGCAAAAAACTGAGAAGCACTGATGGGAGTTTATAGGCCAAGGGTACAAGCTTATCAAGTGACTGAGGCCTAGTCATAGGACTACGCACCTTACCTCTACCTCACTAAAGGCCTATTTACTGCGGTTCTGTTTACCCAATACCTCATATCCACCTTTTTTTTTTAAGATTTTATTTATTTGTTTGTTTGTTTATGTAATTTTATTTGAGAGAGAGAGAAAGAAAGAACACGAGCGGGAAGGGCAGAGGGAGAGGAAGAGAGAGAATCCCAAGCAGACTCCCTGCTAAGCATGGAGCCCGACGGGGAGCTCAATCTCAGGACCCCAAGATCACGATCTGAGCTGAAATCAAGAGTCGGACACCTAAATGAGCCACCCAGGTGCCCCTCATACCCATCTGTTGACAAAAAATTACAAGGCATACTGAAGGGCAAAGAACACAGTTTGAAGAGAGTGAAAAAGCATCCGAATTAGACTTTGATATGACAAAGACATGAGGATTATCAGACCAGGAATTTTAAAAAAACTGTGATTATCATGGTAAGTGCTTTAATGGAAGAAGTATACAACATGCAGAGAGATGGAAATTCTAAGAAAGAATAAAAGAGAAATGCCAGAGTCCTTGGTGCGTCAGCGACAGTGATGGACAGGAAGGCGGGAGAGAGACGTCTGAGAAGCCACAGCTAACTACAGCCTATGGAGTAACGGGAAAATTCCAGTCACAGTGCTGAGAAGTGACCAGCTGAATGAGAAGCTGCAGACCTCTAAACAGAGCCTATACAGACCTCCAAGTATGGGTATGGGAGTCAGATGACAAAGAAAGAAAGCATTAGCCATACTCATCCAACTTGGATCGAGTACACCCAAACTAAAGAGACTTCCAATTCTTGCTCCACAAACCTTTCAGTGGCAGCAGCTTTAAATGAAGATGAAGACAGGGAACCAGAGGACATGCTTCCTGAAGCTGTGAAAATATTAGAAGGCATACACCAACATCAGAAGGACTTAACTCCTTCAACAGAGGAAAGCAGGGTTTTCTGACAACCAGCTATGGGAATGAAATATAAAATCTCTTCTTGGAAAGGTCCGTGACCAAGACAATTAAAATCAGGGTGTGAGGTGGATACAAAGTGAAAAAGGAGCAGTTTCCGGTGTATAAGACTATCTTCGGAACCGCTTTTCTTTGCAAAGGTTGAGTGCTACACAAATACGTGAATTTGAAATTAGAGATAATGCATGTTTTATATACAGATTTCAAGACATTTGCTAATTTTATAGTTTTACACGATTTGTTTACAAAGGTTACATATAATGAAGAAATCAGAAATGGTACCTTTTTAAGAACTGCTTTTTTTGTTAGACATAACAAATAGCACACTGAGTGGGAAGCAAAAAGTTGCTGTTTAAACTGCAAGTAGGGAGGCCTGGGTGACTCAGGCAGGTAAGCATCTGCCTTTACCTCGGGTCATGATCCCAGGCTCCTGGGATCGAGTTCCACATCAGGCTCCCTGCTCAGCGGGGAGTCTGCTTCTCCCTCTGCCTACCACTCTCCCTTCTTGTGCTCATGCTCTCTCTCTCTCTGACAAATAAAATCTTTAAAAAAAAATAAACTGCAAGCAATTACTCCCTAACTTAACTCCCTCATTATCTAAACTGTCTGGCTCCCAGGAACTGCCTTATACAGAAACAGTATTGTACTGAAAGGAAAATGTTACTGGGCTATTTAGATAATATTAAAAGTAAATTTAGATAATATTAAAACACAGCTCTTTTTTCCTTATGAGCATTTGTTTTGCTTCAAGTCACCATAAACTAGGTATTGCCTTGTTATCAGTGGCTACAGATGCTTCTTTAAAAATATTTTTTAAAAATTTATGTAGACTATTGAGTATTTCAAAGAGCCCACTTCATCTTGATGGGTCATGTCTACCTTCATTAGTCTCCAAAGAATAACCATTTGCTGCCAAATTAAATCAGTATTTTGAATGTGCTTTTCTCAGTTTTTATTATTAGCTGGTAATGCTACTTACTTGAGGCAAATCATAAGGAAATTGTTTCTCTTAAAATACAAACTACCACCCAAACTTTTAGTGTACATATTGCTTAACATTTGGCTGATTTTAACTTTTAAAAGATATAAATATGAAAAAAATTACATTGTATGAAAATAGAAAGTAAGAAAATGCACTTTTTATAACTTTGTCAAAGCACTTAAATTACTAACTTGCAAAATCCAATTTGAATTGAATTGAATACAGGATTTCTTATTAATACTATACTATGTGTATAGATCAAAATGTATACACTAGGGGCACCTGGGTGGCTCAGTCATTAAGCCTCTGCCTTCGGCTCAGGTCATGATCGCAGGGTCCTGGGATTGAGCCCTGCATCGGGCTCCCTGCTTGGCGGGAAGCCTGCTTCTCCCTCTCCCACTCCCCCTGCTTGTGTTCCCTCTCTTACTGTGTCTCTCTCTGTCAAATAAATAAATAAAATATTTTTAAAGATGTATACACTAAACAATGGCCTCTCAAAACACTTTAGGTACTAAAAATAGAAGATAAGCAAATGCATCTATAAACACTTTATGGAATCTCTGACCATATATACTTTGTTAGATCTGTGTGTTGTAGGGTAGTTTGGGTTTTTCTGGGGGGGGGGAGTTGTGGGTTCTTTTAAAATTTTGTATTGTATATGAACTCCTTTTGAATTTGGCGGTTAAACACATAGCCAAAGACAAAACAAACATACTATATAGTGATTTCCCCGAAAACCCCTTTCAATTTTGGAGGCAGCTTTTAGACTATTTTGTTGGTGGTTGCTATTTACTCTTTTACTAGGCAATGACACCAGAGAAGCAGCCTCTATATTTTCTTACACTGTGTATACTTGCATTTAGAATGAGCCCCAAAGGAAATAATGGAAATGTATATAGAACTATTAGTTCCTACTTACATGATTTAATTATATCAAGATATATGAATTGAACTCTAAGTTTAATGTAGACAAACTTTCCATTTTAGTCCATTTTACTGTTTATGTTAAAATAACATCCCTCTCCTACATATTCTTTTCTTGACCTAGATGCACTGTTAATGGGATTATAAACTGGTACAGCCACTATAGAAAACAGTATGGAGGTTCCTCAAAAATTTAAAACATATGATCCAGCAACCCCTCTCCTAGGTATATATTCAAAAGAAATGAAAACAGAAAAAAAAGAGAAATGCAAGCAGAATCTTGAAAAGATACCTGTACCCCCAAATTCACTGCACCATTATTCAAACAGCTGAGGTATGAAAACAACCTAAGTATCCATCAACAGATGAATGGATAAAGAAAATACCCATTCCGTTATCCAAGAAACTATGTGATATATACACAGTTGACCCATGAACAACATGAGTTTGAACTGTGGGTCCACTTATACATGATTTTTTTTCCCCAATAAATATATGTGCAGGGGCACCTGGGTGGCCCAGTCAGTTAAGTGTCTGACTCTTGGTTTAGGCTGAGGTCATGATCTCAAGGTTGTGAGATTGAGCCCCATGTTAGGCTCTGCACTCAGCACAGAGTCTGCTTGAGAGATTCTCTCTCTCCCTCTCCCTCTGCCCCCTACTCCGGTGCATGCTCACTCTCTCTCACTCTCTCTCAGATAGATAAATAAATAAATAAATAAATAAATAAAAATAAAATCTTAAAAAATATATATGTACAATACTGTAAATGTATTTTGTCTTCCTTATGATTTTCTTAATAACATTTTCTTTTTTTAGCTTACTTTATTTTTATACAGTATATAATACATATAACATACAAAA